TTGGGCAAACTCCCATGCACCCTCAAGTATCCTTGAGAGGATAAAGAGCGGATCCAGTGTTCCACAACCAGAACAAAAATAGCATTGTTCCTCCTATATCCAAGGTTAGACTAAAGGACAGACTCTCCTTTCCAGCACCATGGCAGAGAGCTTCCCAGGGAGGCTGAGGACTGTGATTCCCCTATAGTTGGAGCACACCTTCCAGTTCCCTTTCCACTTTCCCCCCCCCTAAGTGACCTGACGGTTTGCCAGAATCTGTTCGAGGCGGTCTGAAAGTCTTTTTCCATGGCCTCTCCGAACTCCTCCCAGACCCAAGTTTTTGCTTCAGCTACTGCCTGCACCGCATTCCGCTTGGCCTGTCGGTACCTGTCAGCTGCCTCCAAAGCCCCCAAGGCTAACCAAGCCCGATAGGACTCCTTCTTCAGCCTGGTGGCTCCCTTCACCTCTGTTGTCCACCGTTTGGTTCGGGGGTTACCACCACAACAGGCACCAACCACATGGCGGCCACAACTCACTGCAGCAGCTTTGGCTGTGGAGATGCTGAACATGGTCCATTCGGACTCAATGTCCCCAGTCTCCCTTGGAATGCTGTTGAAGCTCTGCCAGAGATGTGCGTTGAAGATCTCGCGGACCTGGGCCTCTCCTAGACGTTCCCAGCACACCCTCACTATACGTTTAGGTGTGCCAGGGCCGAGTGTCCAGAACATATGGCCTTAGGTCTGGTGATACGGTTACAAAATCGATCATCGACCTGCGGCTTAGAGCATCCTGGTGCCACACTTATGGACACTCTTATGTTTGAACATGGTGTTCATTATGACTAAACTGTGGTTTGCACAGGAGTCCAACCTCAAAACACTGCTCGGGTTCAGATCCAGGAGGCCGTTCCTCCCAGTCACGCCCCTCCAGGTCTCTCTGTCGTTGCTCACATGAGCATTGAAGTCTCGCAGTAGGACAACAGCTGTCCAGTTGCTCATTAATGAAAAAATCTAACCAGCCAATCACATGACAGCAACTCAATGAAGACATGGAGACATGGACAAGATGATCTGCCGAAGATAAGACTGAACATCAACATCAAACTAATTCTAATAATCCCAAAGTGCACATGCTCATATTTTAATTACTTTTCTTTTTTCAGAGAAGACAACAACAAGCACAATTTCAATACCTGGGAAACTTGCCCTGAAGATTAAAGAAGTTTATGGTATCCTTAATAGCCTTCCTGAGGTAAGATGGAGGAAGTTTCTTTAAAATATTTTACAGCACGTTACAGTGCTGGTAGTTTCCACCCTCATGAAAATACAGCTGATTCAAAATTACGTTTATCTTTTAATCCAGCATTGTCTTTTTTTTTCTTTTTTTTTTGGCCTGTCCCGTTTGGTTCTTCTGCCATCAGAATTATTGTCTAAAGGCAAAGAAAGATGCCCAATGGATTTACTTTACCAAATGGACCATCCCAGCCTTGTCGTATTGGTCTATTTGATTCACCTTTTATTGTTTATTTTATTTTATTTTCACTTGCTAAA